CCCCAAAACCCCAAAACCCCAAAACCCCAGACCTTTGGAAAGAAATTGAAAATTTAATCAATATAATAATAAAATGGAAAGTGAAGATCAAATTGCTCAAGAAAAGCATGGACGAAGGATTAGGTAAAGTTAGCAAGTTTATACGTTTTTTTTGAAATGTAAACTGAAAATTTGATGACTCGATGCATTTGGAGAAATTTTTAGTGCATTATATTTTTGATATTCAAATTTTTCTTATTTTTAAATCTTGGATTGCTAACGTGACAAGAACAGCTCTTTGATTTTAATAATGCCTCAGTGCCACCTTATAATAGTCTTTTCTACCTAACTACACCTTAATTCAGCACTCATACTCATATTATGGGCTCTATCAATTAAACTTGATTATAATATCCTGAAGTCAAACTAGCACTCTTAGTCCAAGAGAAATCAACACCCTTACTTTGCCGAGAGATTTCTTGCTTCTCACTTTACTATGCTTCTTCCAACTCACAAACTTGGAGCTATATTTCATTTTAAATACATACTACCCTCAAATTTTACATCCAATTTAATTCCAAATTCTGGCATAAATACGATCTCTAAGTTCACCTCCAATCGTATAGTCTCGAGAAGTCGATCCTGGTTGAAAGCATCACACAAGAATATGAGAGATGTTGCTGTATCCAATACAATATATTTCCAGAGAAAATTAAAGCTAGACTACTTGACCCAGAATCTGATGATTACTGAATAAACGATTGTCTTGTAATGGTTTTTAACCTTCCTAAGTATATGAATCTTATGAAAAAGTTAACATTTCTACAATTCTTCAATGTTAATAAGGTAGAATTATATCTTAGCAAGATGAAGAATTAAGCATATTCTGAATTTTGTAGACTTCTCATTCCCCAATAAAACGAATGAGTTATATACTTCTGCCAATCGTCTAATGAAGCTGAATAGAGCTACTTACTTCAACTCATTTGTCAGGATAAATTCCAAAGTGACCCAAAGAGTGTTGTTCAAATTTTTCTATCTTAGCCTCTATCAACTGAAGAGATTGGTGGCAGCTTACAGACATGTGAAAAGATTGGATCTTTTATTCTGTAAGCTATCCATTCCAACAGTTCCTGATTTCTCAAAGGTTCTTACAAATTGCCAGATTCAGGAAATATGTTTATTGGGCACAGGAGGCAAGTCTTACAGTAATTGGGGAGATCATCCTGAAGAGTTCAAGCACTTAATACAAGGCTTCTCGACATCTTTAGATTTAAGATTGAGCCTCAGAGAAGTAAGCATTTTGAATTGTGAGATAAAGAAAGATGAAACTCAGAAAATCTTTGCTTACAATCAACTCGAAGGAGTAAAAATAAATGGTGGATCTTAAATTCCTGAAAGATTGTTGCTTCTTATTTTATTTGATGAACATGACAAATCCTGCCAGAATTAGGATTAAGTAAATTTTTAACTTATTGTGAGGGCCTATTAATTTGATTTTTAAAATTGGAATTAGAAATTTTTTCAACTACAATACATTCTGAAGTAAATTTTCAGAGCGACTAAGCTTGGAGTCACTTATAGACCAAGAGCATTACTATTTTCGAAAGAGCCAGTTCCCAGTATTTCATATTTAGTGTGTTTTATATTATTCAAAGGTTTGTACCCATTTGTATATTGATATTTATTATCTTATAATGCTTATTAAAATTCCTAAATTTATGATTTAAAGAACGATTCTCATTTACATATGATTAAAATAGCATTCAAAAATATTAGCCGTCGTGGTACTTTTGAAATAAAATTATAAAAGACTCCTCATAATTGTAAATGTTATTCTGATAACTCTTTTAAGCTTTGTAAAATAATATACCATGTTTTTTGGAGTAAATTCTATCGTCTTCTGATGTCTGACATAAAATTAAATACTGGGGTTGTCTGTAGCACAAAGTGAGAACTAAAGTCGAAGGTCTGCATGGTATTAGTTTCATTAGGGTTATAATCACTGCATTTTGTGTACTTAAATTCAACTCAGGGAGTTTTCAAGATCCTATTTTATCTTAATCTCAAGAATTGTTTAAGTGTGTATGTAGGTATAAAGATATTCAATGGATTAAGTGGACAGCTCAGCCTACGATATAGACACAAACAATATTTAAACCTTAAAATAAAGTTACTCCAAAATTTGAGATATTTTGCTATTCTAAAGATTTCAATATATTCATACTAACTCGGGGTTTTGGGGTTTTGGGGTTTTGGGG